AAATTTTAAAATATAGTTATTTATCTAACATGATTAGTTTCCAAATGTGCACTTGTTAATATTTGTATATCTTCAATTTTTTGACATAGCAAAAAATAAAGGAAAAAACATATAAAATCACTTTAAATGTTGACTTTTTTTGGCAAATTGGCACCATAAATCTTAAACTAAATTTTTTTTATCAATTTATCCTTACATCAAGTTGCATTAAATATTAACAGAATTTTGACATGGTTTAGTCCTAACTTTTTATTTACTGAAATCTACATCATTCGTTAAAAATATAAATTGAATGCTATTTTCATTTTTTAAAAATAAAATAATAAAAACCAACATATGTACAGACAGACAAGATTTAGTTATATTTATGTATATTTTTTTTTATCTTTTGTTTAGTTATATTTACTGATACTCAAATTTGATACTATAAATTCAGCTGAAATAATCTTATATCAATTGATTTACATGTCTAGTAGTATGTAAATATTTTTAAAAATTAAAATTAAATTTTTATATTAGTAACTTATAATAATAATGAATATAAACTTTTATTAAAATAAAACTCTAATTAAAAAAAACTAAAATTTCTTTCAATGTTATACATAAAATTTGTCATTTCCTCAGGGGGTGGTCCATAAGTTTGTCTTCTTGTTGTGCCTAAACATTTTCATCTTTATAACTAGACAAACAACACAAGGTGGCAAGAAAATAACATCATTTTCATTTACTAGTGGCAATGGCATTCATTGAGGTTTGACTAACTTGTCAAATAAACAACAATGGTCTTCATTGGAGAGAGATTATGTTTTTTTTTTCTGGACTCAAGTCAATTAATATTAGGTATTGAATGTGTCACATGCAACTTTGAGGTTTGTGATCAACCATTGTAATGGTTTGCATTCAATATTCTTATTTTCAAAATTGGGCATGCTTTTTTTTATCTAACCTTACTAAGAGAATGGAAGTTCTATAATTTTCAGATGGAATATTCTTACAAATCAGTTGTTTTCTTTATTGTAACTTTGTATATAATAGTCTATATACATGTTTTCTTTATTTAAGAAACAGTTTTTTAATGTATTTTTTGTTAGTAAATAAGTTTCTATGTAACTTATTAAATAATGTAGATATTAATGAGTCAAATCTCTTATTTAATGAATTTTATAAAAGAATGTAGATGAAATTGATTGATAGTTTTAACTTCTGATCTAAGCCTCTCGATGGATTAAAGAATGTGCTACTATCTAATTTCTTAGAATATATATTGATTCGTTTTCTTCAGCTTTGTTCTTTTCTTTTCTCATGTACCAATAAAAAAATGTGTGTGCTGTAAGTGTTATTCTTAAATTTAATCCACATGTGTAAAAGATTTCCCACTATTAATCAACGAGGCACTAAGATATCATTGCAAGAGAAAGATTTTTAAATAATTATAGCAAATATTGATTTCTTTAATAAATTAATTTTTTTATCTGTGAATTAATTACTGAATTTTCGTCCACAAAAATACCTTAAACAATAATTTTTATTGTTAAAAAGGAACATTCTGTTGAAATTTTTCTTTTTACTTCGTTAAGTCAAGTATAAGTAGATAATAAAGATGCTTTGATTATAATTTCAATTGTTTCTTTCCTTGGATGTTTACTTCACATCTTCCTTAGATTTCAACAACTATGAAGCGTTTTTAAAGTTCATAGATTTCACATGTTTCAAGCATGAAAAAGAAAAAAAGAAATTTATGAATGATAAATAATCCCAACTTGATTTTGTACCCTAACTTTTGATCAAGTAGAACAAAAATATAAAAGTATAGCCCATATAAATCACATTATTTACAGAATGTTAGGCAAACACAATATAGGGCAAGTTAAAATCATGATCAAAGATTGAAACGAAACTCACTATTGATGGATAGTGTGTTATTAGTTCTTGATTTATTATTTTTTAAGAAAAAAAATATCCTTGAGATTATATATTAAATTAAAAGCGTTTTGCATGAAGAAAAACCTTAATACAAGGCAAGTTTAAACTTAAAAAAAGTTACTATACATTAATTCCCCTTGTTTGTAAAAAAAAAAATGAAGAGAAAAATTGCTTAACATTTTTATTTTATTTTGTAATTTTTAAGTCACTCTAAGTTGTTAAATATAGTTAAGTTTCATTTAGTTTGTGATAGATTAAAACAACATCGTTAGTATTAACTTGTTGATCAATTTAGTAAGATACATTATTTATTTAAGTGATGAAATCAAATTTACACATTTTGTTATGTACAAAACCATGAACATCAAACTATCTCAAAGTAAAAAATAAATAAAAAATATTAACATATATAATTCCATTTCAACTGTGATTCGAATAGACCTTAGATAACCTTAATTAAACTGAATGCAATAAATAAATGTGTTTAATTTTGTAAAATTGCATTCAAATTTATTGTTTAAAGCAACTAATATAATTGACACTTCAAAATATATTTAAATAGCAAATTTTCACAGCATAAGCTTATTAATCAAAACTACAATATGGTAATTGTATAATTATGTTCAATATGAGTCAAAATTGCGTCAAATTTAGAGTTTTATTTTTCATTATTATAAAATATCATTGTGTTGTACCTTTTTTTAAAAAAAATACATAATTAATCAACACATTCGCTAGGGATTTAAATTATTGGTATATATAAAGAATATCTCTTAATCAAAAGTTAGATACTAATCTCTTATTAATAATTTGGATAAGTATAGTGTGGTCTTTGTGGTTGCATAGAAATAGAATTATATTTTTCAATAGTGTTTTGGATGAGAGGGAAGTCCTAGATTCTATTATTCTGAGATCCTGGAAATGGTTATCACTTGTTAGTAAGGGAGAAGCTATTATGTTAGCTGATTGGTATTTGAACTCACGAAATTGTATCTGTCTTAATTTTGCATAAGTATATTTTTACTTTTTATTTCTTTGAGTAAGTAATTTTTTATGTATATGGGTTTTGAGTTCCCCTTGAACTCTTTTTAATAAGATTTGTTTTGCCTATAAAAAAAAAATTTATCACCTTTCAACAAAATTTCTATATAGAACAGCATGACCAAAGCTTTCACTTTATTTTAGTAAAATTATATTTAAAATACATGATAAACCTTAAAAGTTATGCCTAAATATTAAATGATGGTTAATCACATTCCACGAGGTTCATCAACAAAGTCAAAGGGACGATCACAGTCCCCATCCATGGCACCCAGCAAAGGGCATGCGGCTACATCATGATCTTCTGCAAAACCTTTTAAAGTAATAATAATAATAATAATAATTTAAGCCGTTCAATATTCTTTTAAATAAATAAGTTATATATAATAAATTTTTATTAAAAAATTACATATTCAATGTAATTTAATATTTCAAATTTATTTAATGAATATATATGTCATGTTACTTGTAATAAAAATTCATATTTTAAAAAATGTTATATAACATAACAAAACAAGATAACTAACTCATAAAACTATTCTTATTTAAAATTATTCTTAAAAAATTCTGTTAAAAAACTATAACTGACAGTTTTAATAGATATTGATTTAATTAAAATATACCTGAGATTGATTTAACATTATTATCTAATTAGATTTTTATATCAATAATTTTTTAATTTGATAATAATTAATTTTCAAATTTATATTGACCATATGTTTTAATTAATTAACAATATAATATTTTTTATACAGATCATACATACATCAAATCCAGCTAAAATTGTAGTCAAACCTAAACTTTTAATAAAGTAAAAAACAAATCACACCGGCCTAATCCTCAGCAAACTTGTTACCAACTGACATGTTGTGATAAAGAAATAAATAAATTGAATATTTTATATTTTACAACCTAATAAAAATAATAATAAAATAAATTGAAAATGTGTGGTACAGCGACGTCACGACTCGGTTTTTCTCCTCCGATTTGGCTTGGGTGCACTGAGGAGTTGACCGTGCTCGCGGCGGCGACGGTGAACCCATTCCACAACGACACGCCGGCGACGGAAGGAGTGTACGAGTAGTTGAAGACGGTGGTGTATTTGCCCCTTCCGGTGAGCGTTGTGCTGTTTGGGCTGTGTTTGGCGGCGAGGTATGTGACGATAGACGGTGGTTTTTTTTTTAATATGTCTCATTCTGTTTAAAATTTTCATTTTACGTTGTTAAATAAAGTATAAATAGAAAATAAAGACACTTTGATTATAGTTTTAATAGGGGTTGTTTGAAGCACAGAGAAGAAGAAAAACTAGGAATGATGAATAATTTTGGTGTGGAAACGAAGAAAGTAACGAGGCATGTGAAAGGTGAAAAGAAAGTCAAAGGGACGAAGCAGACAGTCCCTATCCATGGCACCCAGCGAAGTGCAAGTGGGTACATCGTGTTCCTCTGCAAAACCTTTTCATTAAATAATTTAATAACAGCAACATAGAGAGAGCCATGTCATAGCCAGGTGCCAGGTGCCACGCGCTCACATCCTCACATTCCTTTCCATTTATAATACATACTTTAATCATTCATATTTTCTGCTTTTTATAAATATTTTTAAATAAATTTTGCTTAAATTATTATTTTTAATAAAATTAAGATTTTTAAAAAATAGTTTTAAACTAAGCTTATATTAAAAAATCAATGCTTAAAATAACAAACTCATATCATTCTTAAAAAATTATAACTGAAAATTTCAAATACAGATCAATAGATCAATATGAATAAAAATTAAAAAATTATATACAGATCATACATCAAATCCAGCTAAAATTGCATTCAAATCTAAAGTGTAAAAAAGTGAAAAACCTATCAGACGGGGGCCAAATTTGTTACCAACTGATATATTATTAGCATAAAAAATAAAATAATTGATTATTTGATATTTTACAACATAATAATAATAATAATAATAAATTTGAACACATGAGTGGTCCAGCAACGTCGCATAATAAACCATAAAAGAAGGAAATAAAAAGGAGGAGCAGAAGCACGCACCATTGCTCACACTCCCTCTCTTTCACTTTTCCCCTTTCCTTCTTCCTTAGGCCTCGCTCTACTCATACTCTACAGTATTTCTACGCGTATCTCTACGCTCCCTTCCATTGCCGCCCATGGCAGACACCGACATCACCACTCCGTTTCTCTCCTCCGATCACATCGTCGTCGACGTCCGCGGCAGCGCTCACCCCGCCTCCTCCGCCGCCGATGCGAATCCCTTCCGTTCGCTTGGGTGCACTGAGGAGTTTACCGTGCCGCCGCCGGCGACGGTGGACCCATTCCGCAATGACACGCCGGGGATGGAAGGGGCGTACGAGTGGTTGAAGACGGTGGTGTGTTTGCCGCTTGCGGTCGTGCGGTTGGTGCTGTTTGGGCTGTGTTTGGCGGTGGGATATGTGGCGACCAGAGTGGCGTTGGAAGGGTGGAAGGATAAGGAAAACCCTATGCCGAAGTGGAGGTGTAGGGTTATGTGGATCACTCGATTGTGTGCTAGATTCATTCTCTTCTCTTTCGGGTACTCTTCAACTTTTCACTTTTGATTTTATTTTTTCTTTTTAATATGTCAATGCTAAAAAATTGTTTTAGTTTTTGAAAAATAATTATTTGAGATCTTAGTCAATTCTGTGTTTGTATGTGTGAGTTTCTGTTTCTTCTTTGGGAACCCTTTATGTGAGAGTAGTTGGGGATGGTTATTAATTCTTCTCTTGAATTTTTATTTTTGGTTTATGATTAGCTTAAGTGTGAGTTTGTAAACGTTTTTCATTGTTTTAAAAAGTCCAATCAGTAGTTTGACAAAAAATGATTATTTTTCTAAAATTAATTAGCTGATTTATCGGCTGAGTTTAGAAAATTTGTTTTTTCGCTACCTTTTTAAGAGGATTTTAGGAAAATAAAGTATTTTTGTAGAATTAGAGTACATGCCCTAAGTACTTTGGTGTGGCATTGAAGTACATGTAATTATGGCTTCTCTGATTTAGTAATTTGTAGTTGTGATGTGAGTCGCATAATGAAGACTGGATGGCGTAAAGATTTGGTTTGGTCTTTGGTGGGGAAAAGGACAAAGGTTTGCTGTGGATTAAGGAAGTGATTTATTTTTTGTTGTTAATGGAAATGAGGCGTTTAATTTACTTGCTTAGTTAATGATGTTCTTGGTTTTATTCTGGGGTTAGGTGGTGGAACGGAGATGAAAGGGAAAAACAGAATAAATGCACGCCTTAGTATGCAAAATACAATTGGCTTTCATTTATAGAATCTGTGCGCATCTGTACTCAGATTTATGACAATTGCTTTCTTGGGGGTGATGGGGGGGGGGGGGAATTGAAAAGAAAAGAATTATACTTTCTATGAATAAGAATCAGGGGTTTTATAATGCTGTGCTTTATGAAAGAGAGCATAGGGGGGATTGAGTCTGTCATGTCTAATTTTTTATTAATAAGAATCAGCCAGTTTCTTTATAGATAGAAAACTGGAAACCAAAGGTAAAACATGAACAAACTAAAAGAGATGAAACCATAGTTATCAATAGCGGTGCTACAGTGAAATAGCGGAGTGGAGCAGTCATAGGTCGCTATAAAAAAATCATTTTTCCCTAAAAAAACACTGCTTTGGGAGATTTTTTTTTTTTTTTTTTAAATCTTTTAGCATTTATATATAAAGTATAAATTATTTATTTTTATAAAATTTCTAAGTAGTGGTCATCCTGCTATGCTCTATCCCACCATAGCATTTTTGGTGTTGGCTGCCACTATCCAAGATTGATAACTATGGATGAAACAGTGCCTTTACATGTTATATGAATTAAATATATGATACTGGGTTATTTTTACTTCTCAAAGGTTGATTGCAGATTCATTTTATATATTTATTTGAAAAAGCCCTTAGCTTATCTTGGTTCTGATCCATGAATATCTCTGTTTGTTGTCTCCTTCTATCGATTGAAGCTATCAGTGGATAAAACGGAAGGGGAGACCAGCACCAAGGGAAATTGCTCCAGTAATTGTATCCAATCATGTATCTTATGTTGAGCCTATCTTCTATTTCTATGAATTATTTCCCACCATTGTGGCGTCTGAGTCTCATGACTCCATACCTTTTGTTGGCACCATTATTAGAGCAATGCAGGTAATTCCATTTGACAGCTACGTTTTATGTGTGCTTAATTAAAAATACAAAAGCACTTTCCATTTTCCAATTTTTTCCACTTCTTTTGTTTCCAGGTCATATATGTTAACAGGTTCTTGCCATCATCAAGGAAGCAGGCTGTCAGGGAAATAAAGGTAAAACATTTCTATTAATTTGCTCATTGTTGTTTGATCTGCATCTTAAAATTTTTGCTCTTTGGCTGTTGATATGGTTGCTAATTAATGCTCAGTTACACTTTCTATTTTCAGTCACCTCTCTGATGCCCATAGTTTTGAACCATACCCTCTTTTTCACTTTTGAGCGTTGTTGTTGTTCTCAAGTAGGAGGTATATCAGCAATACGTTTTAGGATACAATGAGCAACATAAATAATCCAGATTATAATTAAGTTATGACAGTCTAATTAGCCATATAAACTGGAACAGAACTTCAGAGTTGTGTGAGTTTAACATGGTGTATAGTTACATTGGTGAGTAATAATTTAACATGTGAAGTGTTTAGCTTTAGACTCGGAATTCAGTAGCAAGATGAGAGAATTATTCGAAACAGCAGGACTGACCTATAGATATCTCACTTCATATAATTTGCTGGTTGTCAATTTTATAAGCTATTTGATACAGAAATCTTCTTTCAAGGATCTGAATTACAGAGAAGGGCCTCTTGCAATAGATTTCCTCGAGTACTATTATTTCCAGAGGGAACCACAACTAATGGCAGGAACCTTATCTCCTTCCAACTTGGTGCATTTATCCCTGGATACCCTATCCAGCCTGTAGTTGTACGCTATCCTCATGTGCACTTTGACCAATCCTGGTAGGAATTTGTTTATGAAGATCCTTGCATTTCATTACTGTTGTTTGTAGGCATAACTTATCCCTCTCATTGTTTTAAATGCAAATTTGCTAGGGGTAATGTTTCTTTGGGAAAGCTTATGTTCAGGATGTTCACACAATTTCACAACTTTTTTGAGGTATGAGTTTTTATGGATTGAGTTTTTCTTTAAAATGGTTAATCTGCCATGTTGTATGGAAATAATATTTCTTGAAGTAATTCTGAACTTTCAACTTGAATTGAACAGGTAGAATATCTTCCCGTGATTTCACCCCTGGATGATAAGGAAACTGCTGTACATTTTCGTGAAAGGGTAAGTTTTCTAATTTATTTATTTTTTGGTAGCTTTCATTTATTGTCAATGGATTTTTATATTTATGCTCATAGTTTGCAAAATGCAGAAAACAATTGTCAGTAGTTTGATCCTTGAAACCTCTACATGGATATATTTTCATTGTGAATTGTGAGTTGAAGTAGATTTCTCTTGGGCATCTGAGAATCTTCTTTTACCTCTAAGGATCAGTGTTATGGTCCCTAGAAAAGTTGGTAAAGAAATCCAGGCATAAGGTTGATGTGAAAAATTGTATAAAAAATTATCCTTGATTTTTTTTCACCTTAAATTTCAACTAGGTGCTAATCTGACTGCAAGTCTAAGTTTTTTACTGTGCAAAAAGTAAATTTCAGTAAAATGCCAATTAGCAGCATTTTAGAGGTGAAAAATTAGGATTCACGTCATAGCACAAAGTGATGGAAACTTGGAAAGATTAATTGGGATTTCACGCATAGTATTCTGGTTAGGTGGATGGAATGGAAGATTGCTTTAGGCTTGTCTAGTATTGTGGTGTGTCCATCAAATTCACGGGAAAGTTCTAATGACAACTTTTTATTTAGAAGGTTTTCCCTATGTTAGTGAATGTTGGGCAATGGCATGCCAACAGCAGATGAAACTTAGATAAGCTGAGATGATAATGCTGAGGTGGATGAATGGATGGATATACAAGAAAAAGAAAAAAATAGGAATCAATTTATACAAGAGAAAGTTGGAGTAGCACCTTAGCGTGATTATACAAACATTGCTTGTTTTTTGCCCATTTTTTTATCTCTTTTATTAGTTTGTCTTTTATAACATAAAATAGGCTGGTTGATTTGTTGAATTTAATCCTTCCCTGTATTGGTAGTTTGTAACTATTCAACTATTAATATGTGGATAAATGCAGACTAGCCATGCTATTGCAACTGCAATGAATGCTTTCCAGACAGGACATTCTTATGGTGACATAATGCTTCATATGAAAGCACAAGAAGAAAAACAGGTGTGTTATTTTAATTATCATTTCAGTTATATCCTCATCCTTGTTACTTGATTGCTATTTTGCATTTTGAAATTTTTTTGCTGTGTTTAAAATGGTCAAATTCAAACTTGAAAACATAACATTTTAATCACAATATTAAACACAACTTTTGTAATAGATACATGTATAAAAAAAACAGACAACCAAGTACATATTTAGAGTTATGTTTCTTTTACTTACTGCTTTCTTCTCCTTGTAGATTGATTATTTCAGTCTGTAGTGATATCTGTGAAGCTCTTTGCTTTCGTGATTTTGAATGGCAATATGGGTTAAACTGAAGATCTCATGTTATGGACCAAAAATATGATATAGGTGACTTGCGTCCAAGTCACTGTACACGTGTAAGAGTAGTTAGCAGGAATTCCGTCATAATTTCACATATGGGAAGTTAGTTAGAAATTGACAAACTATAAATAGTTTTCATCTGTTGTAAGGAGGGATGTTTGTTTGTAAAGAATTTCTGTGTGAACTTCATTCTTGTTCTTCAATAAGTAATATTCGGAATTCATTCTTCCATTGAGTTCCCTATTGTCTTGTGAAATCTTTGAACACCTAGCTGTTCCTAGATTCACCTTATTAGTGGTATCAGTGAATTTGTCTAGGACCTTCTTCAATGGCAGATGAAACAAGAAGCCAAGCTGCACAATGCAAATCGGAAGAGCGCATTGAATCAAGAATCAATTTGCGATTGGATGAGAGATTGATGGCGTTGGCGACGTCGATTCAGACGAATGTCCAAGAGGTCTCGCAGGTTTCGATGGATCAATAAATTCAATGTTCCTTCCAAGAAATGCGCCAACACCTGATTGAATTGACAGCAACAAATGGACGTGTTGTGAATGCTGGACGTAAAGATCATGCGAATAACAATTACTCGTGTGGTACTAGGTTAGCACGTATTGACTTTCCTAGGTTTAATGGCAATTCAGTAAATCAATGGATTTACCAATGTAATACATACTTTTCTATTGACGGTACTCCTGAGATATCAAAGTACGTTTGGCAGTTATTCATTTTGAAGGATAAGCCCTCATGTGGCATACAGCCTTTGTAAAAACGCTAGGTGTACATACTTTACCCAATTGGACTGAGTTTACTAAGATAATAACTGATAGATTCGGAGATACTTGTGATGACCCTATGGCTTCTTTGATGAGGCTTCGACAGAAAGGATCAGTAGTTGAATACCATGAGGAATTTGACTCCCTAATCTCTAGGCTGGATTTAACTGAGGATTATATGTTGAGCTGTTTCCTAGGAGGATTGAAAAAGGAAATACAACTGATGGTGAGGATGTTCCAGCCTCAGGATATTCGGAAGGCTTTCACTTTGGCGAAATTATATGAATCCGCTGCTGCAAACAGTTTTACCTCTAATCCATTTTCTAAACCAAGTAAGATATCACAACCTTCCAAATCCATATTGCCTACTAACCCACCTAAACAACCAGCTAACCAAACTACACTCCCCAAGTACCAAACACAAACCATTAAAAAGTTTACCCCAGCCTACATGAATGAGAGAAGAGCCAAAGGACTTTGTTACTTTTGTGATGAGCCTTTTACCCCAGCCCATGCCCTTACCCATAAGAAACTCCAATTGCATGTGTTGGAAGCGGATGATGATGACAGTAGTGAGATTGGTGATGATATTATAGTTTCCAACCTTGGTTCTGTGACTCCTACGTTGGACGGCAGTTTGGACACTCAAATTTCTGTAAATGCGTTGACAAGTGTGACTACTTTCAAGACCATGCGAGTGACTGGCTATTTTAAAAAGAAACCTCTACACATACTTATTGACAGCGGGAGTACTCATAATTTCCTTGATGTTAACATGGCTAAGAAATTGGGCTGCTTAATTGAGGATGTTTGAAATTTGAATGTGGCCGTTGTGGATGGGAATAAGGTAAAAATCTGCTCAGTAGTCAAACAATTCACTTGGACAATCCGACAAACCAACTTTGTCTTAGATATGTTACTGATTCCCTTGGGGTGCTGTGATTTGGTATTGGGAATTGAATGGTTAGTTACCTTAGGAAACATAACCTGGAATTTTGACAAACTATCAATGGAATTTTTTGTGGACGAAAAAAAGCTGGTTTTGAGAGGGGCTAATCCATCAGGTTTAACAACTATGAAGAAGAAACAGCTGAACAAGGTCTTGAATTCAGAACCTCAGTTGTCAATGTTGCACATTTGTGAGGGAGGTCGGGGAGTTTTTTCTTCCTTAACTACTCATGCTTCTGACACTATTGTATAGGAACCTATCGAAGCTCTCTTATTATAGTTTGAAGATCTTTTTATGGAACCAACAGAATTACCTCCAAAGAGGCTTACGCATGATCATAAAATACCCCTGATACAAGGGGCAGATCCAGTAAATAAACGACCTTATAGATATGCCAAACGTCAAAAAGATATAATTGACAAGTTAGTTTAGGACTCCTCAATAGTGGAGTGATTCAACATAGCACCGGTCCTTATGCTAACTCTGTAGTTTTGGTTGGGAAAAAAGATGGTTCATGGAGGCTCTGTGTGGATTATAGGGATCTTAATAAACAGACTATCAAGGACAGATTTCTAATTCCATTGGTGGATGACTTGTTGGATGAATTGCATGGTTCAGTGGTGTTTTCAAAAATCGATCTTCGGTCTGGTTATAACCAGGTAAGGATGGCTGATAGTAACATTCACAAAACTGCTTTCAAGACACATGGGGGACACTTCGAATACTTGGTGATGCCTTTTGGCCTCACAAATGCACCAGCCACTTTTCAAGGGCTGATGAATGATGTCTTCAAGGATTACTTAAGGAGGTTTTTGTTAGTGTTCTTTGATGATATTTTAATATATAGCAGTAGTTTAGAGACGCATTTACAGCATTTGCAGCTGGTTTTACTTACTATGAGGTCCAATTCCTTGTATGCTAGAAAGAGCAAATGTTATTTTTGTGTTGAAAGGGTGGAATACCTTGGCCATTATATCTCAAGAGAAGGGGTTGCAACTGACCCTGCTAAGGTCATAGCTGTCCAAAATTGGCCTCTAGCTACCACTCTTAAACAGCTAAGGGGTTTTTTTGGACTTGCAGGATATTACAGGAGATTTGTGCAAAACTATGGCTGTATTGCTAGACCTCTAACCAACATGCTAAAAAGGGAGAATTTCCATTGGTCTCATGAAGCATTAAATGCATTTTAGATGCTAAAAGCCAAATTGGTGGAAGCTCCACTGTTGGCTTTGCCAGATTTTCCAGGGTCTTTATTGTTGAAGTGGATGCTTCTGGTCATGGTCTTGGTGCTGTTTTAATGCAAGACCACCATCCTATTGCATTTATCAGCAGAGCTCTAAACACTCAACAACGGGCTTTGTCAATCTATGAAAAAGAGCTTTTGGCCGTGGTATTTGCTATGCAGAAGTGGCGGCATTAATTGCTTAATACAAAGTTCATTATCCGAACAGATCATCGGAGTTTAAAATACATACTCAACCAAAGGTTAACAACTGCTTTTCAACAGTGGTGGCTGGTCAAGTTGATGGAATTTGATTTCTCTATTGAGTTCAAGCAAGGGCATGAAAACGTGGTTGCTGATGCCTTATTAAGACTGGAACCTATTGACTGTCAAGCCATCAACACTTGTGTACCTGAATCTGACTTGTATGACAAAATTAAACAATCATGGGCTAGTGATAGCACACTACAACAATTGATCACTGAAATTCAGGCCAATGCTGATTCACATAAACATTATGTTTGGCAGAACAATGAACTACGAAGAAAAGGGAGGTTGGTTGTAGGGAAGGATTGCTGAATTAGAAAAGCTATTTTTGATTGGCTGCATGCTTCTGCTAGTGGAGGTCATTCAGGTAGAGATGCTATTTTGAGGAGAATGCAAGCTGTGATTTTTTGGAAAGGAATGACAAAAGATGTTAGGACCCTTGTAATGCAATGCAGCACTTGTCAGAAGTCTAAATATGATACAGCTGCCAGCCCGAGACTACTGCAGCCATTGCATATTCTAGGAAGAATTTGGTAGCATATCAATATGGATTTTATTGAAGGTCTCTCGAGATCATGTGGGAAGCAGGTTATATATGTGGTGGTGGATAGGCTGAGTAAAGCAGCACACTTCATGGCACTTAAACATCCTTACACAGCTGCTGATGTTGCTCAATGTTTCCTAGACAATGTGTTTAAGCTGCATGGTTTTCCCGAGTCAATAACAAGTGATAGAGACCCTGTGTTTGTGAGCCAATTCTGGAAAGATATTTTGTCTTGTTAGGGTGTACAAATAAACCTTTCTACTGCTTACCATCCTTAAACTGATGAACATGCAGAAGTATTGAATAGGTGCTTGGAAACTTACCTTCGATGTATGTGTGCGAATGTTCCTCATGAGTGGTCAAAATGGTTGTCATTGGCTGAGTGGTGGTATAATACTACCTACCATTCTGCAATTAGAACCAGCCCTTATGAAGTTGTGTATGGTCAACAGCCACCAGTGCACTTACCTTACCTTCCTGGGGAGTCTAGGGTTGAGTTAGTGGATAGAAGCTTTCAGAAACGTGAAGAAATGTTGAAGGTGGTTAAATTTAATTTGGAAAGAGCTCAGGAACGAATGAAACAGCTTGCTGGCAAGCATAGATCTGACAGGCAATTTGAGGTTGGTGACTGGGTCTATGTGAAACTTCATGCTTATAGAAAAATTTCTGTTGCACAACGGGTCAATGCTAAGTTGTCCCCAAAGTATTATGGTCCTTATACAATTCTGGATAAAATAGGTACAGTTGCATATAGAATTCAACTACCAGCGGGATCCAATGTCCACAATGTCTTCCATGTATCCCAATTGAAGAAGCATGTTGGAGAGGTACCTGTTTCCAGCAATTGTCCTGAAGTTTCTGATTCAATTGGGAGAGGACGAGAACTTGAATCCATCCTTGACAGAATGACTGTGAAGAGGGGAAATATGCCTGTCACCAAGGTTTTGGTCAAGTGGAAGCATCAGCTGCTAGAGGATGCCACGTGGGAGTTTTATTATGACCTGAAGTGGAAGTTTCCTCATTTCAATCCTTGAGGACAAAGATTATTTTAGGGGGGAAATATTGATATAGGTGACTTGCGTTCAAGTCACTGTACACGTGTAAGAGTAGTTAGCAACAATTTCGTTATAATTTCACGTATAGGAAGTTAGTTAGAAATTGACAAACTATAAATAGTTTTCATCTGTTGTAAGGAAGGAAGTTTGTTTGTAAAGAATTTCTGTGTGAACTTCATTCTTGTTTTTCAATAAGTAATATTCGGAATTCATTCTTCTATTGAGTTCCCTATTGTCTTGTGAAATCTTCGAACATCTAGCTGTTCCTAGATTCACCTTATCAAAATATTTTTATTTGAAAAATGAGAAAACCATTCATGACTAAGGATAAAATTTCCATGGCATTTGAATTCAACAACTTGAACTTCTAATATAAAATTGAATGCCACAGTTGATCTGGAAAATTGTCAAAGCTTGGCTAATCGTATTATTCTCTTCCATTTGTTTATCATTGATTAGATTGCCACCAGTTAGAAATAAAATTGAAAGAACACTGGACACGACAGTGACGCTTGCGACACACACACACACACACATATATATATATATATATATATATATTATATAATTTCAAAAAAAATATTAAGAGACATTATTTTACAATGTAAGTACTTGATTTCTTTACAAAAAAAATCTCAAAATAAAATAAAATTATATCATATTCGTATTCTCAAACAAATACACTAAGTTTTATTATTTTTTCTATTTGTAATGAGCATTCCTAAAATATTTAAGGAAGCATCATTTTTTAATATTTTTCATTAAAAATTAAGCTAATTTTTTTGAAAGTTATATATATTTTTAATAAAACTTTGAAGAGCTGTTAGTGTTAGAAATGTGTCCAACACACTGCAATACTTAAAACAAGAGAGGTGTCCATGCTTCATAGGTACCCATACCATAGGCAAACATTTTAAGCTTTTATTTGCTCCAACAATCCCTGTTAACTTCAAATTTTTACTACTTTATAGTTTATACTGCTAACCAAGACAATACCCCCAACAGTTTTAACCTGCATATTTGCCCAAATACTTCCTTAAAGTTCTCCCATTTTCCTCATTTTTTAATATAATTTTTATTAAATGTTTCCTAATCTGTTATTTCCAGTTTTGTTGTTGCTGATACTTTAACTTATTGATCTTTTCAGGAGAATCCCTCAATTTACATGGTTGAAATGACCAAGGTGGAATCAGTGAGTCTCTTGAAACAAATGAGCTTGAATTAATGTTGTCATTGTTTAAATATACCCTTAACTTTTTTCTGCTGACATTGTCAAAGCCCTGGTCTTAAACTTGTTACCACTTCAGGTGAGATTTATGCGTTAAACCTTTTATCTGTTTGTCCTGTAGTATATGCAAATGCTACAGCAACCCTTTAATGGATGCTAGAGATAAGTGACCTAGAGTGGCTGCATACGTAGTGAAAGGGTGAAAATATTTTGTATTATGGTATCTTAATGATAAGTGATAGAATGACACATCTTGTCTCTCTTACTGGTCTGCCTACATGGTAATGCCAAAGGATAAAAGAGAATTTGTGCTTCTTTTCAGTTATTTCATATTAGCAGCTTGGAAGCAGTGGACTTTCTGGATAAATTCTTGGCTATGAATCCTGATCCCAGGTACTAATATCTCACTTATTCTTGTAAGGTCTCACTATTAGGGATTCCACTCTTGCTCTGGTACTGGCAGAAACAAAATTATAAATTCATTAATGTTTATTTTTGGTAGTAAGCAATTGATTCTATATTGATGACAATCAATGTTGACTTTTTATGCATGGTAGTCAAAATTGCAATTATACTCGTAAGATCGTTTGATCTTACAATTTTCTCCATGCTGAGCGATCACGATCCTAGGATGCGGTTTTATAAGTTGGGATAGCACGATCTTGCTTATGAATTCATGGAATCGTGTGATCCTAGTGTGTTGGAAAAGAACCAGATTTAAAAAAAAAAAATCATTTTTTCATAAAAATACCCGATTGACTCACCTGGTTTTCTTATGACCCCGATTATATAACCCAAGACCCACATGTCTATGTTATTTTCCTACAACATCTCTCTCCGTTCTTTGCCTCTATTTCTTTGGTTTTGGTTACTGCATCACCTGAAAATTTGAGTTGCCCCTGGGTGTTGGTCACTGCACCTGTGAGTTCATCTAGCAAATGGGTTTTGGGTGCCTGAATATGAGCCCCCCCTCTCTCTATTCAACTCCATTTTGTTTATTATTATGCATCTTTGTTTCTGATTTTTTTTCCTAGTTGCACTGTTTCCTGGTCCTTTTTTTGGGTTGGCATTTTGTCTACATATTGCAAGGTGTGGGCTGGGCAAATAGCTTTGACATGGGTAATGTAGAAAAATGCTTTTTTTTTTTTTTAATGAAAACTTATATTATTTAGATAAATGAATAAAATTGTAATTTTTATTGAGTTATAATTTTTGTGGATTATAACATATTTCTTATTAAATTTTATTCAATGTTATTCATGATTTTAAGTTTACTTTGCTTATCTATGGTATTTTATATGCATATATTTATTCAAATATAATTTTATATTATAAGTAAGATCTTACATTACATGTTACAATTCGACACTTTGTGTTTTCCATCCCCCTTTCGTTTCTATATAAGATCTTGATTTTGACTACCTTGCTGTATAGTATTTCCTTTTGATGTATTTTTCTATTTATGCTCTCATCTGTGACCTTTACATACCTATACATATGATTGCATTTGGAGAAATTTACATTTGTAGTTATACGTCACTACTATATTATCTTACGGGAATTGATAAAGTCCATATCTTGCTTGCAGTGGTCGTGTTCAATATCATGACTTCTTGAGGGTTTTAAGACTTAAGGATTGCCCGCTATCTGAAAAGGTTAGAGCAAATTGCTCAAGATTTCTTTAATATTGTGTGATTAAAACCCCTCAAGACTTGATGTTCTGACCATTTTATGTTAAATTCATTAATACCACGTGCATGCATGGTTTTCGATAAATTACTATCAGAGGAAAGAAAATGAGGGGGAGAGAAAGTTTTGAAATTAGAATTGAAGAGAAAATGACAGGAATTAAAAATTTGAATTTTTGTTTCCAAGTCAAGTGTGCTCTCTTTTTCTCTTTATCTTCACTTCAACTAAACAAAAGGAAATGTGTCGTTATCTGTGTTTTTTTTTGCTTCTCTATTTTTTTCCTCTCATCCAAACGGACCATTTTCCTCCTTCATCTCTGTCTTCTGTTGCCAAAGCCAGATACACGTGACTTGAGTTGCTTTTGCTGCTTTTTTGTTGTTTGATTGTCCTATTGTTTATGTTGAATATATTTTATTACAGATATTTGCGTTCATTGATGTGGAGAAGAGTGGGACAATTACATTCAGACAGGTGACTATTTGCAATAATATACCGTTTATATGCAAGAGATTAGAAGCAACTAGCAAATAGTAATACTACGACACTGTACTGGTTTTGGGGCAAAACACTACTGACTGCATCTTTAGATTCATGAAGTTCGGTTAGTTATGACACACACATCTTATGTACATTTTTGTATGTTGTATCCAGTTCTTGTATGGATCTGGACATGTCAGGAAGCAGCCAGGGTTCCATCAAGCCTGTGAAGAAGCCTTTGCTGGATGCGGTGGTGCAGTAAAACCCTACATTGTTGAACAAGAAGTATTATGACCTTTCTTGCTCATATTTGCATTTACTATAATTCATTGGATTATCACTAACTTGTACGTTTCAATTCCCTTTAAAATCAGTTACAAGATTTCATCCAACCTGCCATCCCCAGCTGGAACAAGGATGGGGTAATTTCTATTTAGTAAAAAACTTTTCTGTCATTAGCATTCTTAACACTCTTACGGTAGTCTGACCGACGTTAACTGATGGTTACTTGTAGGTTCATGAGCTTTTTATGTTATTTGATGATAATAATGATGGAAGATTTGACAAGGATGACTTTCTTTCATGCCTTAGAAGAAATCCTATCCTCTTAGCATTTTTTATACCTCAACCGCGGCACAAGGAATTGAATGCTAATGGAGTACTAGAGATAGTGTGATGGGTATACTCTTGCTTTTTAGGTGGTTGTCTTATAGGGAGTACAAAGCAAAGTAATGGGTAGGTATTCCTGGGGATTACATACAGTATAGGATGCAGAGGCCTCATTTTTTTCCTTATTTTTTACCTTGCCCTGATTAATTACTCATAAAGCGTAATTATTTGGTCAAGATTTGTGTCTTCCTGCTTTATTTTAACTATAGGTCAGTTTTGCACAGCTGGATGTCGGTTATCTGGGTGGATGATCGTACTGATCCAACTTTTGAATTTTGGTTCAGGGACCACAATGGCATTTAGGGATCAATGTGGTTCATGTAAGGCTTGAACCTACTTGTTAGGTTTTCTTTTGTAACAAACATTGTGAATGCACTCTCAGAGATGTGAACCAGAAGGTAATATAATTGATCCTGGAATTTTTAGATGGAATCTCAAGAAATGATTTTGTTGTTTTGGAATGCATGATGATTTCATGCACAAATAGTTTCTCTTTAAATTTAGATGGAGTTTTAATCAGCCTCAGAATAAGCTTTCTTGAAATTTCTGGTAAATGCGATGGTATGCGAACTATGAAAATCTTTGTAAAAGAAAAAGTTAATATAAAAAATGAATAATTTTTTTTATAAGTTAAAAATAATTTATTTCTTTAAATTATAGAGAAGTTAAATGAAAAAGTTTTTTAAATTATTAAAAAATAAAGAAGTATAAGTTATTACAGATTCATGAAAAATGTTGTGTTTATTTTTTATGTTGATTTTTTTTCATATAAAAAATACTCTAAAATTTGTTGAAACTAAAGTTAAGTTAACAATATGTTTGATTATGCTTTATTAGGGGAGAGAGTCATTTTTGTAGAAATGAGAAGAAGGTATTATGTGTAATAACAGTGAAATAGTTATAATTTTTATAAAGGAAAGAAAAAGTATTAACTTTCTTAAGTGAAAGGAGAGGTTAATGTTTGTTAGTTGTAAGTATTACAAGTAGTAGAGGAAGGGTCTGGGAGTTTTTGTAAATCCTCTGTAACCTTTTATTTTTTCAGTTATCCAGTTTTAAAGGATTTTTTCTCTTACTTTTTTTGTACTTTTTTATGATTATAATTTTAACTTTTTTTAATATTAATTTTTTAAGTAATAATTTTTTAAAAAATTTATAAAAAAATAAAAATATTAATATTTAGAGAAAGAAAAATATTTTTTTAAAAAAAATAAAAAATATAATAATATTATTTATATAATTAAATATTTCATCATTCTCCTCTCTCAATATTAAACATCTAATTAAGGGAGAGATTTAATCTTCTTCTTCCTTCAAACTCTTTTCCTTTCTCTTTTTTCAAATTTTTAAACAAAGTCTTAAAGTTAATAACAATTATACGTAAATATTGCTTGATTTTAAAATTATACTTGATTTTCTTGTTCGACTCTTGTTTTGTTTGTAAGTATTATGTGTATTATTCTTATAAGAGCTTTTCTTTGTATAATGTGTATCAATGTGTAAAAATAATATAAAAAATAGAAGAGGTGCGTATAATTTTCAAACTAAGTAAAATTTGTGAGAGTTCACTAGGCATTAATCAAATTAGAAGGGAACAGATGATACAGGAATATTGAGTAAAATGAAATAAATTAATTTTGTTAATCATATTTTAGTTTTATTTTAAACTATTCAAAATAAGATTGTTTCATTTTATTCCATTTCTCACCTCTGTGATGCCGGCATTTTCATATTTGTCCCTTATATTAATCAATTAGTTCCTTTTTTTGTCAACTCATTTATATGCATTCGCCACATAGAATAAAGCATGAAGATCCATAAAGCAACCAAATATAATTAATTGAAATTGATAACATGTTTTAGACTTCAGTGACCCTAAACGTACCAATGATGGAGAGAGAACAATTGTAGTATGTGTTTGGTTAGTTTCATTGATTATAAAGCTTGGATTGGATCTGTGGGTTCAACCAATAATGTGATAAGTAAACCAATTGGGTTAACACAATAAGTTGATAATACATAAGAACAGGTTAGATCCGATGTTACTTGACCCTGACTCGGCCAATGTCATGGATCTGGCGAGTCAACCAATTTTGTGGCTCAGATGCAAATTACTATGCATTTTGCTCCTTGTTTTGATCTAATCCAGCGTACTTAAGTGTACTTGTCTACCTTGTTTGTACTATTGTTTATTGTTTTAGTTTTTGGTTTAGTGCCTTGCCTTGCTGATTTGTTTGGACTTATGCTAACTTTCTAGTCTTGGTGAGATTGATTTAACACTTTCTCTAATTTAATTTTTTAAAATGATTAATATATTTTAGATTTATTTTTAAAAAGATTATGTGGTTAAAAAAAGTACGGTACAAAAAGAAAAAGAATCATGTCTGTGTTATCAATTACCTTGAGAGGGTGTTTAGTGTACATAATCTTCTTTGGTTTCTAAGAATCATGTTTCTTAGAAATCATGTTTCCCAAAAATTATGTTTTCTGAGACTATTAAGATATATGTTAGGTATGTCTTAAAAGTTTTTTAAAAAATTATACAATAAATTTGAGGAATGTTTTGATAACATATTTAATTTAAATATTATTTTTTAGAAATATTAAAGCTTTAAAAAATATTTTTTATAATAATTAATAAATTTTATTTATAAGAGAGTGATTAGCGAAACTTTTTGTTTTACATCAATAATGTCTTTTTTTTAGTTGAAATTTGGTTGTTTAGGGTCTGATTAGTTCATGTTAGAACTCCAAGTTACATTTTTGCTCTAAAAAATCATTTTATGAATGCGATTTCATGTTAAAAATTTAGATATATAGGCACTTAATTGTTTGGTTTGAGGGTGATTAGGCTATGGCAAAATGACAGCCCTCAGCTCAATTAACAATTAAAATGGTCGAATAAGAAGTTAAGGCATTAGTGCACGACGAAGTAAGCAAGAAAGTGGTCTTAGTAAATTTCATTTTATTGCCTTTTTTTTTGTCAATTATGCTAAATTTTGGATTACTAGAGTGCTATTTCTCTGGTTGGATACTTTTTTACACCTTCTCATCCAATGAAAATTAAGTTACTAATAACACATTTTAATATCAGATTTTGTTAACTTCGACCCTAAATTTTAAATTCTAAATTAGAAAAATAAGCAATTAATAATAATAAAATTTTATTTTAAAAAAATTATTTATTATATTTTTATAACTTTAATACAATAATTATATTTTTTTTATAAAAAAATTATTTATAAATATTTAAATTCAATCTTAAAAGTTGAAATTAACAAAATTCTTTAAAGTATGTTACAAACTCAAATTGCATATCTTTCTATTCATTTAGAAGTATAAGAATTATTTTTTATATATATATTATAGTCATATTTTATTAAAGACAAGTAAGAAAAATTATTTTATACAGTAAAATTCTCTCTCAGAAACATAAGAATTTGTGATAAGTTAAAAAACCTTTATAAGCTCTTTATTATTTTTTTATATTCCTTTTCATGCTGTCATGTTTTCATAATAACTAAAAATTATTATAATCACCAAAAGTTCGACATTGCTAAATGTCATCAAAATCGATACATACTCTGCTACTGACGCTTTCTTCAACAAATGTTTCTATCAGTTCATTATAAATAAAAAAGCCCATCTTAAACTGTATTACTGATAAAAATTATATAAACAATTTGTATAATTAATTTAGATAAAATAAAAAAAAATTAAAACATATAATCTGGATAATCTCCTCTGAACTTAAGCTACAATAAGTTTGTTGTCCTTTCATTGATATTTTAGTGATAATTTAGAGAGATATGAATTGTAAGCAGCAAAATTCAATCTTTGTTATATGCAAAAACCATTAAATTGGGTCGTTCTTGATCTAATTTAAAATAATATATAAATCAAACATAAAAAAAAAAAACATAATTTCTTTAAAAAATTGTGTTTATAAAAGTAAAACCTAAATTATCTTCTTTTTCTTTCAATAAACATCATACCAGTTTGTACAACAAACCCTATACAAATCATTGATAAGTTCCAATAATCAATCTTCTACTAATAAATTCCAAAACATTAGAAACAAAATTGTTGGTAGAACAATGTTGAAATGTTTTCTATCCACACAGCTGTAAATGCTAGTGCTATCACTATGAATAGGATTGGGATTTGGCGCAATGCAATTATCATAATCAACGATGAGGGTCTTCGATTTTTAATTAATGGCTTAAAAATTGGAAAGTAACATGCATTAAAATTCTTATCATCTCATTGTTCCATCTTCTATGCCAATGGATGAAGATTAGACAGTCCTCATTGTTTGACTGTAATAACTGCTCCTTTTGTTGATTGTACCAAATCCAAATTCTTAGAAGTTTGTTCTGCTGGTTAGGTTTTATAAGATGTCAACTTGGTCTATTTTTTCAATCTAAAATCTAAGTTCATTTTATTTACTAAGTATATATTTATTATTAAGGTTTAGACTCTTCAAAATTTGACCTGGCTTCAAAGTATATTTAAAAATTATTTTATAATAAGTTAAAAAACCTATCACTAAAAAAATAATAGTTAAGTTTAATTTTACATGTAGATCAACAAATTCACACTTTAAAGGTTATAAGTGACTCACTCTTTAATAGGGTCAAATATATATAATTCACGCCTATAAATATTTAACTATTGTAGCATCAAATATTCCATATATGTAATTACATCTATAGTACTATTCTTTCAAAACATTTGTTATTTTTAACACTACACTCTTTAATACAGTTTTTTCAACATACTTTTAATTATTGATTAAAATTTATTAAAAATTATATAAATTTTATTCTTTTACTTCTAATTTAAAGAATTTTACTCAATGGTTTAATTCTTTTTCATATACTTTTTATTGATTAATTTATATAATTAAAAATAATATGAAATATTACGTTATTACATAAACTAAAAGAATTGAAAGCAAAAAACAAAATAAAATTTGGTTAAATTTTAAAAAATTATTATAGTTTGTCCTAAAATATGGGTTCCATGTGATGCAGGAGGGTGGACGATAGAGGACCAAACCAGGGAGAATGACACGTGGCAGAGAAGAGTTTGCTGTCATGGAAGGTAAAATCTAGATATCACAAAAAGGGACACACCTCGATTTGGGAGTTTATGGTAACAATGTATGTGTTTGCAACTTTGGGTTAATTTTATGCTGTTAATTTATATTGGAGTTCGAACTGAGGTGCATATCATGGAATTATAAATTATAAATTAGAAAAAAAAAAGTTGAATTTTATGATAAAATAAAATTAAAAGAAAAAAGTAAAATAAAAAAATATATTTGAGTGTGCACAAAACTAATTTAATGTCACAAAGGATATTTATATCTTTTGAATGTGAATGAATTTTTAAAATAGGTGAAGTTTTAGTTTTTCTAGTTTTCTAGTTATTGATTCCATTATTTTCATTTAGAGAGACCTAACAAATGCTTATGCA